TCAGGGAAGGCCGTGTGACCACGATGTGATTCCCTTTTCTGTCTAAGTACAGCAGTCAGCGCTCACCTTCACACCGGGGGTAAGGGATGCTCCAGGTTCCATTGACTGTGCAGTACAGAGTTGTTTTTCCAATTAGAGAATAGCCAGGGTCACAGCTGTAGTTCACAGACTTTCCAGGGTTGAACACTTTCACATCCTTGCCGTCGTGCTGGCCATGGTCAATCGCCAATGGGGAGGGACACAGCCGCCCTGCAGGGAAGGAAATCTTTGCTGAGAACAGCATGGACTTCCGAGTATTGTTGTTTTCCCATTTAGCACTAGAGAACTGAGACCCTCTAACTACAGGTGTGTGGCTTTTCACTTCTCTTCCCTTCTTTCCTCCTGTAATCCCTTTGTATCACTGGCCTATCCACAAGTGAAAAAGGCAGGTAAATGCACCTTCACAGCGAGGGGCAGGGACGCTCCAAGCTCCAGAAGAAGTACAATTAAGCTGTGCCTCTCCAACGAGAATGTAGCCAGGATCACAGGCATAGCTGACAGACATGCCGCTGGTGAATACTGCCGTGACTTGGCCACTGTGCTCTCCGTTGTCAATGGCCGGAGGGTGGGAGCACTGCGACGCTGGGAGAAGAAGGCAAAACCATGCTCACATCCGTAGGGAGAAAAAGGAGCAGTAGGGAAAAATGAGCGAGTTGGAGCAAAGGAACATTGCAGCCGAGCTTCCAGCCTGTCAGACAGGTCTCTCTTGGTGGCTGCTCATTGCCAGACTCCATCCAGATGCTTCACCCTCCAGATTACCTAGCATGGATTTCTGTGCACTCAATGCCGATGAGTGCCAGAGGGATGTGGCAGCAGGGGTGATACGGGCACTGACACATCCCAGCCCCACATTCTCCCCAGCCCCTCCTGTCCTGTGCACAGCCCCTGCTCCGCAGCACGTCCCTGTGTGCACCCTGCAGCCACGGGCGCAGCACAGAGCCCTCACTCCGCACCGCGGCGGCGGCCGTGCTCCCCGTCCGCTGTGGTGCAGAAGATGGAGGGCTCTCCCTCCAGCACGTGGCCAGGGTCGCAGGTGTAGGTGACCACGTCCGCGTAGGAGAAGGTGTCCATAGATTGCCCACTGTGTCTCCCGTGGGGGACGTCCAGAGGCGGATTGCAGACGATACCTGCACGCACAAACAAGGTGGCTTTTAGCATCAGTGCTGCTGCAGCACCCAGGGTCTGCAGGACACGGATGCTTCCCAGGATGAACCGGTGAGGATGAACGTGTCTCAGCAGTAATGCTCTGTGTCTTTGCCTTGGAAGATCTTCCCCGAGGAAAGCATGGATCTGAATCTCTTTGTGCTATGTTTGGTTTCTCATCAGTCACTGCTCAGCCCCAGCCGCAGCATACTTACTCTGACAGATGGGAACGTCACCGCTCCACCTCACCCGTGTCCCAGAACTCAAATTCACACAATGCCTCTCTGACGCTCCAACCAGCCTGTACCTGGGGTCAAAGAAGGTCACTCTTGTCACTACAGGGCTGTCTTGGACATTGCATCTCCCAGAACAGCCAAGTATTGCCTTGGTTGCCATCTAACACTGCCATTTTAAAGCTGAACCTTCGCTCATGTGGAGGTCTGCCCCCCAGTCCCCTCAGTCAGCACAGGCAGTACACCCCTGGGGGCTCAGGGGGCTGCCTTGCCCTCTCCTCTTCCTTCTGTCCTCTAGAAAAGTCCACTTTAATGACTCCTGGTTTAAGCCAAAGCTTCCAAAATAAACATCCCTTTTCCCCTCATATGCTCCACGTAACCAGACTCAAGCAGTCCTGCCCTCTAAATGGCACTTAAAAAATTGTAAATAAATCCCTTTCTCCAATTTCTGTTGCCATTTGGACTAGAAATAAGACTAGAAATAGCCTGCTGCAAATGCCAGAACTGCTTTGGTGCCCAAACTGCTTTAAACCAGAGGATTCTGAGGTTTCCCCTGCTCATTTGGATGAGTACTATTTTCTCTTGGCACCTGTTGAGAGAAATCCTCCAGCATCAACCCTGTGCAGGTGACACTGGGCTGCTCTGAGCTCAGAGACACAAGCACTGGTTGGTCTCTTGGGGGAAGCTGTGTTGCCTACGAGCTGCAGGGAGGGCAGCAGCGTCACTGATTCAACCTAAGTGAGACGAAGGGGCAGGGCTGGGGCTCACCCTTCATTGCAGGTGTAATTCACTGTTGACCCGAAGAAGAGATCTGTTATAATGATAACTCTGCCGTTCTCCAGTTCTCCAGGATGGTCGCACCTTCTCCCTGGGCAGAAGAAGACCCGATTTTAAGCTTCTTTAACTCAGTGCCATAGGAAAAGGAACACTAATTCTGGGAGTCTGCCCAACCCCCCCAGAGGAGGGATACAAAAGGGAATTACAAGCCTTTGGTCATCACTCTGCAATTTAAACAAACTAGAAGCATCTGCAAAACATACGCTTGCAAAACTCCCGGGCTTCAGACCACGTTTGGTTCTCAAGACACGTAATAGTTGGTGATATTTGTGGATGTTTCATATATCCAGGACGACAAGTGTACTTCACAGTCTTCCCAACAGGAAAATCAGTCTGATTTTTATACTCATTCTTTAGCTCAGCAAATGATAATATTGTTGGTGTCCCACAGACAGCTGCTGAGAAACGAAACGCACGTGAGAAATACGTCCTGGCTGTGAAACACGGGCAAAGAGAGACAAGAGCATTGATAGGCGCTGTGACAAGCCTCATGAGTATTAATATCTCTACTGTGCATTCTGACACTCATCTACATAAATTAACACTCACTTAGCATGTAAGGACATATGCACCTAATTTATACGCTCTTAAAAAAGACAAACCAAAACACCCCCCAAAAAAACAGTTTAGGCAGTGTGATGGTTCCACACTCTGCATGTCCTACACTGCAGCGCTGCCACCATACAGTGTGTCACCCTTGGGCCAGAGACGGCAGGAATCCGCAGTTTCAGGAATTAGAACATCCAAGACCGCAGGATATCCCAGGCTTTAGCAATGCTACCAGGTTATTCCCAAAGCCACCCAAGGGAACGCAGCATCCTACCTGTGCAGCGAGGGTACGGCAGGCTCCAGTTCCCTGAGGCCATGCACGAGACAGAGGGGTCTCCGAGGAGGGAGAAGCC